ACTTACTTACTTACTTACTTGTGTTTTATTAAGAGCCGAGGTGGCGCAGTGGTTAGGGTGCAGTACTGCAGGCCACTTCAGCTGACTGTGATCTGCAGTTCAGCGGTTCAAATCTCACCGGCTCAAGGTTGACTCAGCCTTCCATCCTTCCGAGGTGGGTGAAATGAGGACCCGGATTGTTGTTGGGGGCAATGTGCTGACTCTGTAAACTGCTTAAGAGAGGGCTGAAAGCCCTATGAAGCGGTATATAAGTCTAACTGCTATTGCTATTTGAAAAGTCACATCAAGGACTACGGAGCCTCTATGGTGAGGTAGGAAAAGGGGCCTCCCCCTTTCATTCAACCCTTTCAGATGCTTCCCTCAGTCTTTTAGAATATTTAGAATATAATATTATAAATAATTGTCATTTGTTCATGATAGTTCGTATCTTGTCTCTTTTATCTCTTGTGCTTTCTACTCGAAATGTGGTGTGAACACGCTATAATAATTTCCATTCTGAATCCGGCCCAAAATCCAAGCTGGGTTTTGTTTTCTCCAAGGAAAACCCCGGTTAGGCTGACCCTGCCTGACACCCCCCCCCCCTTTCCGCCTCTTCTCTTTCAGATGATCACTGTGTACAGTCTCCCAGGGATGGACCCCGACTGGCTGATTGGAGAGCGGGGGAACAAGAAAGGCAAAGTCCCAGTCACCTACTTAGAACTGCTGAGTTAAGCGCGCCTGGCAAGGACTCTGCAAGCAAATCCCCTCTTTCTTTTTCTTCTCCTCCTTTTTGGAAAGGCTGATTCATCCCTCGCTCCCACTATTTATTATTATTATTGTTATTACTTGGGGTTTTGGGGGTGTGTGGATTAAGGCCCCCAAAGGGATGGTGGTGAATCATTTCCATTCTCCAGGGTTTCGGGCTGACTCCCCTCCAATTATCCCACTTGGCTTTGAGAGTCGTTGAGAGCTGCTGGGAAGACACCCCCAGCCCGTTGGGGATAATGGTGGGTCATGAGGACTAGCCACTTTAGAGACCCTTCCTTCCCATCTTAATTTTTCCTTCCTTCTCCTCCCATCTTCCCTCTCTCCTTCCTTCCCTTTCTCCTCCTTCCTTCTCCGTCTTATTTTTTCCCTTCCTTCCTTCCTCCCACCTTTCCTCCCTCTTTCCATCCTTCCTTCCCATCTTATTTTTCCTTCCTTCTCCTCCCATCTTTCTTCCCTCCCTCCCCATCCTTTCTCCTCCTTCCTTCTCCGTCTTAATTTTTCCCTTCCTTCCTTCCTCCCATCTTTCCTCCCTCCCTCTCCATCCTTTCTCCTCCTTCCTTCTCCATCTTCCTCCCTTTCCCTCCTTTCTCCCCGCTCTCCTTCCTTTCCCCCTTTTCTCACCCTATTTCCCCCCTCCTGCCTTTTTCAGAGCCTTCAATTGATTTTAGACATTCCAGGTGGGGGGTGGGTGGGGGCGATGTAGGAGAGAAGGGCTTTTTCTGACCGCAGTGAGCCTTCCCTTTGCCCCCCCACCCACTTTGCCCATCCATCCAAGCCCATTCCCCAACGCGGAGCCAGTCAGTTTTGTCTCACAGGCAGAGATGACCCATCCCGGTTGGGTCAATATTTTTGAACCAATCTTTTCGATAGGAAGATCCTAAGGATTTCGCGAAGAAAAAGAGATGGAATTTGCAACTCGGCTGAAGTTTGACGGTTAGGCTTTGGTTATCTGGCCTTGCACCATTTTCCCCACGATTTTGTGTTTCCTCTTGCAAACACACACACACACACACACACCAAACACACCTGCCTGCAGATTGAGGGGCTCACCTTTGTCAAAAATCTCTCCACGTCCCATAGCTCGATCCGTGGGGCCTTTCTCCCGAACTCAAAAGCCATTATGTAGAGCCGGTGTAACCAAGCAGAGAGCATGGAGCAGATTCAGCCACCGCCCGAGGCCGCCTGGCTCAACGCTTGACCGGCGCTTTCTCCTTCTTGGCGCTTTTTAGGCCGATGTGGACGTTGCTCAGCCCTTCCGCAAACGCAATTTAGTTTGAACGACTTGCAGTTTCCTTTGCTTGCTGGTCTGTTCTTGAGTTTCTCCTTTTAAGAAAGCCACATGGGAGTTTAGCCGAATTCTGCTCTTCCTGAGGCTGGGAACAGAAACGAAGCATTTCTTGAGCTTTTTACCAGGTTTATCAAGTGCTCCTTTTCTGGAGGGACCCGCTGAATGTCCCCAGGGGGTGTGGGGCATTGCCCAAATCTTTTGGGTTTTGGCAGGCGGAAGACTCTCGCTGGTGTGATCTTTGGGCAACACCCCCTCCATCCCAAATACTTAAAAAAAAACCACTTGGGAATAATCAGGTTCCGCCAGCAGGAGCTCTGAAGCTGCTTTGGGGGAGCTGAAATCATGGATCACGAAGATTGGATCTGAAGCCGTTATAGCAGCAAGGGGGGGGGGGGGTGTCCCCTCACACGTCCCCGTATAAAACATTTGAATTATCCTTTTGTAAGTTATAGGTGTTCTTCCTGCGTGCTCGGTTTAAAGCTTCTGCACGGTTTCCCCCCAATTTCAGTGGGGGTTTTATTTTTTGCATTCTCCGGTGCTTGGCATGTATCCCCAGTCCGAGTCAGAAACCCCGCTGGGACCACGGATCTGGCAAACCTCACCAGGGGGGAGGAAGCAAGTAACCGAGGCCCGTTTTTCTGGGGACGCCCCCCCCAATCTTTCCTTGCAACTGTTTGTATTCTGCTTCCCCCCCCCCCCGTTTGCCGAGTTCCTTTAACAATTGCAGACTTTGAAACGGGCCGAGAGCTCAGATGTAAAGGAAATGCACACTTGTTACGGCTACGTTTGATTAATAAAAAGTTTAGAGCCGCCCTCCGTTTCAGCTGCCTTCTTCCAAAAAAAGCAGGACCTCTGCGGCTCGAGCTAAGTTTATTCCCCCACCCCCACCCCCACCCCCCAAGACTTAGGCAGAAATCAGGACTGGCCCCAGGGGCTAGAGAAATGCAGGTAGTCCTTACTTTAGGACCGTGCAAATGAGCGCAGAATTTCTGTTGCTAAATGAGACATTCCTTACGCGAGCTCTGCCCCATTTTGCCACCTTTCTTGCCACAGTGGCTAAGCGTGTCGCTGAAGTCGTTAAGTCAGTCACACGGTTGTTAAGTGAATCTGGCCTCCCCGTTAACTGTTGCAGAAAGGGGTCACATGACCCCAGGACACTGCGACCGTTGTTAAGTATGAACCAATTGCCGAGCGCCTGGATTTTGGTTGCAACTGTGAAAAAAAAGCCAATTCTTCTCACAGTAGGTCCCTCCCACCTCCGTGGTCACATGACCGCATTTCGGATACCTGTCATTTTGCAACATCCCACATCCCAACCTCCAATTTACGACGTTTGTGGAGTTTTGGGAAATGTTTGCGAGCTTTTACTTCTGGTTTTCGGTTAAAAAAAACCACACACCCTAGCGAACAATGGATTCACTTAACAACCGGCACTCACTCAGTCTCCATGGGGATTCCCTTATTTACCTCCCCACCCCACCCCGACCCCCGGAATGGTGGCAAAATTGGGTCAGTCGCATGCTTTTTTACAACCGTCATGACTTACGACCCTAACGGACAGGTGTAAAAGTCCATAAAACGAGGACCAGATTGCCGGCGGCCATATGACGACATTGTAAATGCCCCAGGACTACGGGGCAGTATAGAAGTCTAAGTGGCAATTGTGTTGTGGCCCATTGGCAGCAGAGTCGGACAGTGAGGAGGTTGGGGAGGAACCTGGGCCAGTCCTGGGGGCTGAGAGGGAGATAGACAGCAGTGAGGCAGAGGAACAGCTGGAGCCTGTTCCCAGTGTGCGCATGGGAATAAGGCCACAGGTGATTGGCCCCTCCCAGAGGACACAAAAGAGGAGTGAATGGGGAGGGGGCTTTAGCAGGAAGCAATTTGTTTCAAGAGTGGAAAGTTCTGTTTGTGACTATAAGAGACTCTTGCTTTTTAAGGAAGCCAGGGTCAGGACACATTGTTATTGCTGCATAATGGTCGTAATTCGAGGACAGCCTATCTTTCAACCTCTAGCCAAAGCAAAGCACGCTTGTTTTATTCCGGACATTGCATCGAGACGCAGGAAATGCAGAACGTTTTTTTCCGGGTTCGGGTGTTGACGTTAAAGCAGCCAAGTGCAAACGAAGCGTGGCGAGCCGGCGTTCCCAGAGGCCTCTGTCTCTCTCGCGCACGCGCGTGCATCCTTCCAACTGTTTTACGTGCCACTTTATCCTTTCCAGAAAAGCGGAAGCCGGACTGGGCCACGCTTGGTGAACATTGAAGAGCCCCAGCGTTGCTTAGAAACGTGTTTAATCAATATAAATAGGAAACAACTCGTACAAAAAAAAGGGGGAGACTCAAGCGATGGGATTCTGGTTCTTTCCCGATCCTGGGAAAGCGGACCGGGGGCTTTATAAAAATAGCTCCTCTCTGCGCTGGGAACGGCAGAGACGGGTCCCGTGGAAAGCAGGGGGGACGAGGGGGGGTCTCTGCCCTTCGTTTGCAAAGCCCCCCCCCCCCCCCGGTCACAAAAACCGTCCTTGGCCTACGAGATTAATGCCCGGTATTCTTTTCGGAAGGGATATTCAAGCTCTCTCCATCTGCTTCCCATCCTGGGCTGTGCGTTAAGCTAGAAAAATAAGGGAGAGGCTTATGAAGGCCGAGTCGGATTTACTCGCGACACAATTCTTTGGGGCGGAGGGGGCGAGGAGTGGGTCTGTCCCCCTTTGCTGGAAGAGAGCAGCCAACGCCTCCCTGATGGAGGTCCCAGAAGGGATGGGAGACCAAGTGGGCGTCATCTCCAGCCAGAGTGGAGGGTGGCGTCTTATCTTTGCACGTGTCGGACGAAGGTCTGGACCAGCTGGAAGAGGGGCTCCTGGCCTTCCGGCCCCAGCTTGGAGGAGGGTTTTCCCTGGGGGGAGGGCAGGAGGCCCCCGGCAGGCGAGGAAGGGCCACCGCGGCGGAAATAGCGAGACAGGCTGGAGAGCAGCGTGCTCTGGAAAGGGAAGAAGACACGGTGAGGCCGTTACTTCTGATACGGGAGGGGCTAGGAGGTTGGTCGAGAAACCGGGAGGCGGTGAGATCTAGTCCTGTCCTAGGCGTGGAAGCCAGCTGCGTGTCCTTCGGCGAATCGCCGGGAGACCGGGAGTTCCAGATTAGGCATGAAAGCCAACTGGGTGACTTGGCCAGGCACCAGGAGACGTTGAGTTCTAGTCCTGCCTTAGGCATGCAAGTCAGCTGGGTGGGCCAGTTATATAAATCAGTGTTTCTCAACCTTGGCAACCTGAAGATGTCCGGACTTCAACTCCCAGAATTCCCCAGCCAGCGAATGCTGGCTGGGGAATTCTGGGAGTTGAAGTCCGGACATCTTCAGGTTGCCAAGGTTGAGAAACACTGATATAAATAATATAGGCACAGGATGCCAATGACTCAACCTGTCCCTCTCCTCCTTCCCACCCCTGCCATCTGCGTGTGATCTTTCCCATTCGGCCCAGCCAAGGGCAGCTGCTGCCCAGGGATGATGGGAACGGCCGTGCACGTCCTCTACGCTGAGCCCCCCGCTGAGCCCCCTTTACCAGCTCTGAGCTGAGCTCCTGTTTCATGCGCTGTTTGTCTCGCGAGTGCACCGCCGGATCCTTCAAATACCGAACCGCTTGAGAGATGAGAAGGTAGAAGCAGTTTTCCATGGTGAACATCAGGAGGGGCCTGGAAGAAAGACGGGGTTTATTGAGCCACCGAAAAGCGCTAGCGCGGGAGTGGGGGACCAAGGCCCTGCTGGCCCAGGAATTCTGGGAGTGGAAGTTCCTACAAGTCATAAAGGGGCCATTGTTCCCACCTCCGCACTGGCAGAAAGACGGATCAAAATGCAAACCGCAAACATATCCCCAAAGTATAGTTTGTGTTCGCCACTTTTTATTACCATATTTTTCAGGGTACAAGACGCTCCGAAGTATAAGACACACCTAGACTTTGGTGATGAAGAAGAAGAAAAAAAAATCTCCCTCTGCCTCCCAGCAATTTGCCTCCTTGCAGCAAACAGCCCATTTCAGTTTCAGCACAGCCTGATTAGCGCAAGCAGCTGATTGTCGGTTGGATCGACCTCCCAACCATCAGCTGTTTCAGGCTGCAGGGATTGCCATAGGCTATTGCCGCCTCCACGCGCCCCATTTTCCACTTGTTCTGGGCAGCGGGAATCAGAATGGGCGGAAAATTGGGGTGCACAGAGGTCAAAACCGGAGCATGCAGAAGCTGAAAAAGGGGTGCGGAGGCAGAAAACGGGGTGCGCGGAGGCGGCAATGGGCTGTGGCAATCCCTGCAGCCTGAAACAGCTGATAATTGTGAGGCCGATCCAACCGACAATCAGCTGCTTCTGCTATTCAGGCTGTGCTGAAGCTGCAAGGAGGCAAATTGTTGGGAGGTCAAAGGGTGGGGTAGGCGGGGTTACATTCAGTGTATAAGACGCACCCAAATTTTCACCTTCTTTTAGGTGTGTGTGTGTGTGTGCGTGTGTGTGTGTGTGTGTGTGTGTGTGCATATTATATGCCCCAAAATTTGGCATATGTAAAAAGAATACAGGAAAATAAAAAAGCGAGGGAGGGAGGGAAAACAAGCAGCAGGTCCCTTGCTGAACAATTCAAATATTCCCTGGCCTTGGGGCTGTGCTGAGGACCTGCCTTTGCTGGAGAAGTTGCTTTCAAAGCCACAGCAAATATCTTTAAAAAGAAAAGAAAAGGATTCCTTCTCCCATGTTCTAAAGGTGGTCAAAACCCTGGGGTACCTACTTGAGTGTCTTGTTCCCTTCCTGCTGGGGGGAGGGTCCTGCAGCCAGACTGAAGGGGTCCTTCTTCTTATCCAACTGTGGGGAGAAAGAAAAGCAGCATCAGAACTCAGGACGAAGTCATGAGTTGTTTTTTTCCCCAGTGTTCCGTTCGCTAAACTACCATTCCAACCTATGGAAACAGGGTGAGAAAATACCTACTCCAACCCCCTGCTAAAGGCAGAAGACCTTATACCAGTGTTTCTCAACCTTGGCCACTTGAAGATGTCCGGACTTCAATTCCCAGAAATCCCCAGCCAGCGAATGCTGGCTGGGGAATTCTGGGAGTTGAAGTCCGGACATCTTCAAGTGGCCAAGGTTGAGAAACACTGG